TCTGTCCCCTTGAAAATCTACTGCTTATTCAAATAAGTAAATAAATAAATAAACCATTTATTTATTGTATTCAATTTGTATTATTTAGTTTAAATGTTAAAGTAACTGGATCATCTTGGGATGAAGAACTCATGGTCCTCCAAAGGTTGATCCGTTGGAATTCTCAGCTTCTTCCATCCTTGGCCAAGATGCATAGGGTTCCTGGGAATCAGAGTTCAGCAACATCTAAAGAGCTTCTCCATTCTTGGGATAAATAGTCCAGCTAATGAAACATCAGCTTTCCCTATTTCTATCAGTCTTGTTATTCTGCATGCAGCCAATGTAAAAAGGTCAACGTATAAACAGGACAAAGTCCCTGTCCTTCTGACTCAGCTAGAATTGTTCATACTTTCTCCCAGAATCCTTTCCCCATCCTCTTTATTGGTCAGTGCTTTCTGACCTCTGCCTGCTGAACCTGCTGCTCAGACTATGGGAGAGGACATACATTGCTGACAGCTCCTCCCGACAAATTCCCCGGATGTAGAAAATGGGCATCTGTTTTAGGATAGCTTCTCCTTCTGCCATGCTAGATTTCAGAGATAGCGATATTTAAAGACTGGAGTGCTCCTATCTACAATCCAGTGGAGAGTGCCTTCTCTATTGCAGCACCTGCCCTATGGAACAGCCTCCCCCCTGGGATCCAGAGGGCCCCGACCCTCCACCCTTCCAGAAGGTTCTGAAGACCTGGCTCCTCCCCCAGGTGCTGCACCAGCCCGTTCAATGAGCCCAATACAGATCCAGTTGTGTTAGGAGTTTGCCATGGTGCCTCATTGCTCTTAATTTTGTTGTTGTATTAGTGTTTTTAGGTTTTTTTTAATGTTCTGTGTGTGTGTGTGTGTGTGTGTGTGTAGATTGTTGTTAGCTGCCCAGGGTTATGTATTTAAGGTGGGTGGCCGTATACATTTTCTAAATGAATGAATGAATAAATGCATAAAACTACCATGATAAAATCCAGGATAGGTTTTATAAGTAATCCCAGATTTCTACTCTGCTCTCTGCTTGCTCGTGAGCCAGTTTGGTGTAGTGGTTAAAGGCACCCGGCTGGAAACCAGGAGACCATGAGTTCTAGTCCCACCTTAGCACAAAGTCAGCTGGGTGACCATCGGCCAGTGCTTTTCTCTCTCAGCCCTGGGAAGAAGAAGGCAAGGGCAAACCACTTCTGAAAAATCTTGCCAAGAAAACTGCAGGGACTAGTCCAGGCAGTCACCAGGAGTCAATACTGAAGGCCCTCCCCCACCCCCCACCCCCATCTGCCTGCTCAGAGGATAGTAACCTGGATTTAGCAGGCTAAGTGGAGGGCAGGGGAGGGATAGGAATTTCCACTCAGTGAACTGATGGGATGGGGTGATCCATCCCTCCCATGCCAGCTTGCTCATTTACCTGATGGAATTCTTGCTTGCCTCTAGCAAGCGGGGGAATTGTTCAATTCAACACTGAGGTTACCACATCAGTGAGAAGAAGGCCTCACAGGCAGTCTTATCAGAGTGCTGATCATCTCTGGGTGAGGAAGGAGTATCTATTCCTACAAGCATAAGTAGCTGGATGTATTTATATTGTCCATGTCAAGGTAGCGATGCTACCCTGCCCTGCTTCTCTTTTGGCAGGAGAAAGCACGTCTGCAACGAGAACGTCACAGGGTAGAGGAGCTGCAGAGACAACATGCTGAGTCGCAGATCCACCTAAACAACCAGCCGGAATCAATGCGAGAGCGGATGCAGAGCCAGCTGCAGGAGGTAAGTGTGTCTCAGCTCATTACACTGTGAAGCAGGGGATGGTCTGTGTGCAGAAATCACATGGGAAAGCTTTCTAGGAACAGAAAGTGGTTTCCTCTGGTCTTCTTCTGGGCTGCTGCTTTGACTTCCTAGTCTGGTCTCTGGTCCTTGAATTTCATGGTGAACTCTCATTGGAGTTTTAATCTGGTCTGACCCACTCAGCTTTTTGAGATCAGTCAAAACGGGTAAGTGATCCTACCTAGGCTGAGCAGTGTGCATTTTGGAGTATAAAATGTCTGATTTTGGTGAAAGGAACTGGTATACTTCAGACTGGCTGTGTCCCATAATCTGAGTGAAGAATGCACTACTTGGAGTTTGCAGAGCCTTGAACCAGACATACCCATTTTCTGTGCATTGAAGGGTGCTCTTTGGGAAGATGAAACCCAGGGACGGTAATTACTCTTCTTTCCTAGACAACTGAGATGCTAGAAGGAGCCCTGAGATGTTATGAAGATCTAGAATTCCAACAACTAGAACGTGAAAGCCGTTTAGAAGAAGAAAAAGAAGCAACTTGCCAAGCTCTGACTGAAGAGATCACTCAGTTGCAGAACCGCATCAATCAAAGGAAGGTGAGAAGTGGTCTGAATTCTTAGCGATCCAATTCTAGGTCTTGTTTTTCAGTCCATGATTGTCCTATTAAGTCTTCTTCAATCTGGTTTCCTCTAGCTACATTGGACTTCAATATTAATGATGCTCAGCCAGAACTGTCAAAAGAAATGCCAGTTGGAATATGTTTGGAGGGGACCAAGTAGATAAGGTCATCCTGTACAAGAAGATAGAAAGGGTGGAAATATAGATGTTATTTAGGAATGAGCATCCCAGCCTGTGCACCAAAATAATGACAAATAGTTCTGGAAACATTTTATTTTGACTGCAAACTTAGATCTGGTTTAAGTATAGCTTAGTCAACTCACCTAAAGGTGAGTTTAGACTAAGCAATACCAACATGTAATCAGTGAGTTCAAGCCTTAAAAACTTGCCTGTCTGTTTTATAAGACAATCTGGAATTTTGTAGTATTAGACAATAGAAAATAATGAATTTACTTTTAGCATATAAAAACCTTAAGCAGTGGGCAAAATTTTCCTTCCCTTGAGATCCTTTGACTTTTTAATGTACTGTGGCTTTTAGATATGCACACTCTTAACCACAAAGCCAATGTAAAGAATTGATGAATCATCAACAAAACATTCTGTAATGCGTTGGTGATTCCACGGTTGCATTTTTTTCCTATCTTTCTAACAACACCTGTCACTTTTGAAGAGGGACTGTCTGTAGGGAGAATTACTATTTTTCTTGAAATCCTAGCATTTTAGTTCACAAAGTTTCTCTTCACCCATTCAGAAGACTGTTCAGAAGCTGGAAGGCCAAGCCCTTTTAACACAAGAACAAATGATGGGTGTGTGCCAGAGATTTGCACAAGAGGAGGGAGAGGCTGTCAGGAATCTTAATGCGGTAAGGAATCCCTTTTCTTCTGCCAAGAACCAAGGATGAGTATCTTGGTTTCCACAATCATCCTTGACTATCTACTTTCCCACGCTTTTAGAATTTGAAATTTGCATTTTTGAATCTCTCTATGGTGCTCAGTATCTTCTTTTCTTTCTAACCTGGTGAGAGAACTCAAGGATAATGTTTCTCTGCTTCCTGGATGTGGTTTGTTTGGAGAGAAGCTTCCTTCTGCTAGAACTTGGCTCAAATCTGCATGTTTTTCAGAAGCCTTATTGGAAGGTCAAATGAGATTCTGAGATCAGACAGTGCTAGTGACTTTAGAAGCTGCTCACCTAGCTTTGCTGCCTTTGAGCAACTTTAGAAGAACATTTCTACTCTTCCAAATTTTGGCTGACCTACAATGTTTAGTCATTGTAAATGGATCTAAGAATTGATGGAAGGAACCATCATGAGTAAAAAGCTCTTGGTTTTTCCTGGCTGGACCTCTGAAATATGTATCCAAGTTGTGTATGAGAGAGGTGAACTGTAATGGAGACAGTGGGATGTTTTTAGTTGAAGTTAACTAAAAAGAATCCTACATGAACAGAATTTGATCGTGATTATGCTGCTTGTAGTCTCAAACTCTTTGGTTGCAATATGCTTCGGATATGCAGATATTCCTTATTATTGTAAGTCTCAGGTATTTTCAACATAAGAAATAAGTTACTATTAAGAGACCCACCACTGAACTTCCAATCCCTTGGAAGCCTCCGTGCCCTATTTCACACTGTTTTTATACTTTGAGTGCAGGAGAATGTGAGTTTTCTCAGAGTCAGGGATGGAATTTTATATATCATAATTTGAATTATGGAATTCTGGGAATTGAAGTCCACACATCTTAAAGTTGAAATCTACACATCCTAAAATTGCCAAATTTGAAAAACACTGGTCTAAGTGATGACATTAGGAGGTAGCACAATGCAGGTGATAGAGCAGTCTTACATAGGCTTCAGGTGAAACTATTCTAAACATTGTGAAATGGCTTTCCTATCTAGAAAGGTGACTAGTTGCTTGTCTGCATTTAGGAGAAAAGTCGTCTAATGGACATGAGCCAGGAGTATTCAGAGGAGAACAGGGAGGACTTGCCAGAAAATAAGGAGGGTGTGACACAGGTAAGCCTCTCCAGTACTTCTCAGTGCATTTGTATCTCCCTGATCTTGAGGGCATCCAAGTCTAAACTTCCCATTCAGAAAGATCTCTTGGATTCTGCACACTAGGGCATGTCTGGATGAAGAACACTCACTGGTCACCTTGTTCCCCTTGCCACAGCTTTAATGAATCAAAGCAGGTAGAAACTTAACAGATGCAACTTTTTTGCGGGGAGCACTAAAGTACAGTGCTTGGAAAAGCTATGTCAACTGACCTTGTTGCAGAGCAGTTAGGCCTTGGGAATTGAAGTGAGAAGGGACATTTCTAACACCCCCATGACGCTTGCTCTCTACAGGAGATAAAAGCAGAGGACAGCCCCTTTCTGTAATTTAAAAAGTGGGATTGAATAATGATGAGAAGTGTGTTAAAGGAGTGAAATGCCTATCTATCCACATTTCTGCCCTGGTTTTATCCCTTTTATCCTTTTCTTCCAACATCTTCTAAGGACTTACCGCCAGAAAAGAGATGTGAGTGTTGCTTGTTTGTCACAAAGCCATGAAGCTCATAAGGGACTTTAGCTAAGCTGCTTCTCAGATTAGCCAACAACACAGGGTTGTTGGGTGAGAATATGAGGGTTATATATCCTTCTACATATTCTTTTACATATGAGGATGTAGAAGAGACCATCATGTCTTACAAAAGGGGAAACCCTGCTATGCCTGGATTCATCCAGCACTCTGTCTTATACCTGTGTTAACAAAACCCAATGGTTGTGTTCTCATAGCATACCTATCTATGTTATGGCCCTATTCACACAACATGCCAATACAGAGGCTGGAATCTCACAATATGCAGAACCCAGCCCCTTTTTCGCTTTGCTTAACACAGTGTGCAAATTCAATCTTTAAGTCCCTTCTTATATTAGTTTGGTTCTAGTCCAGAGAACGGTGATCAAGTGGGCCTCCAGATGGTCCAAGGGTTGTAGTTCAGCAATATCTGAAGGGTCTTGCCTTCCCCCCGTTGGGTTTAAAGCAAAGGAGGATGGATTTGGCATTTCACATTTGGAAAAGCAGGACCCTTCCTCCATCCACACCCTCCTTCCAGTGGTGATGTTCACATTGATAAGTCTCTGTCTCCCTGCAGCTGACTTTCACCCAAAAAACGGATCGGAAGGTCATTGTCTTGGGCTCCGACCAATCTGACTCGTCCTGTGTCTTCTCCGTCTCCAGTTCTGTCAAGGTCTGTCCTGTCTCCTTGGTCTGTGTTAATTTCAGTCTCTCTTGTCCTTTTACATGTGCTCAAGTGATTCAGCAGCTTGGGATGTGTATGGTCGTTTTCTCCCATTATGCCTCTTGGTATTGAGAGAGGATGCCTAATCAATATTTATTTGTTTGTTTGTTGCGCATTTATATGTTGGTTTTCAAGAGAGGCTTTTTTTCCCCTCAAGGAAGCTTACCTAAATATTTCAAAACTTGTGGTTCAAAAGTTACATCTAAAGGAGCGGTGTCAGTGTCTTTTTGGTGGGTAAGGGGTCCAATTATCCCCTCACGCAAGGAAGTACGGTAAAGATACAATAACGATAACAATAATAATGGTCTAGGGCAGTGTTTCTCAACCTTGGCAACTTTAAGATGTGTGGACTTCAGCTCCCAGAATTCCCCACCAGGCTGGCTGGCTGGCTGGGGAATTATGGGAGTTGAAGTCCACACGTCTTAAAGTCACCAAGGTTGAGAAACACTGATCTAGAGAGCTACATTTAGTGGGCCCTAGGTGGTGGACCTTTTCTGCAGTAGTGCCCACGTTGTGGAATCTTCTCCCCCCTGAGGTGAGGTTGGCCTCATCATTGTTGAGCTTCTGGAGGTCCCTCAAGACTTGGTTATGCCAGCAGGCCTGGGGATCCCAGGGGATGAGTGAGCTAGTGAGGCACCTCTGTTATTTTTAATATCCCTTTGTCTACTTTTGTTTTAGCTCAGTTCTTATCGTTTTTAATGTTTTAATAGTTAATAATCAGAGTGCTTTTTAGATACTTATTGCTGTTTTAACTTTGTTGTAAGCCACCCAGAGTAGCTTGTCAAAGTGA